TTGCCATTTGGTAGTTTCCAAATGTTCACACGGATAAGCATCACTTGGGAAACTTGCTAATAACACATTCCTGAACCCCATCCCCAGAGTTTCTGATTCATTGGGTGGGGCTCAGATTTAGGACTCTGCATTGTAACCAGTCCCCAGGTGGTTCTGAAGCAGATGGTTTTCAGTGGTATCTTGAGAAACCCTGACCTACTTGATTTTAAGTTCTGATCAGCTTAAGTCCCTTAAACTTGGGAGTGCAGGGGTTTGGAAGAGATACATGCTTTCTAATGGCTTCAAGAAACCTTACTTAGGAAGCTTCCTAGAACGGTGTTCTGTGCAACAACAGCACACCGACACGACACCATTTCTTTTCAAACAGGAGAAAGGCATTGTGTCATCATGGGGCCTAAGGTGAGAATTTGAAAGCGTTTCACTGGAACAATTCAAAAAGTGTGTGTGTATGTGGGTAAAAACTCGACTGTACACTTGAGCTTTTGTACCTTACTGTATAGATGTTTAACGTATGGATGTTGTGCCTCAAATTTAAAAATGTTAAGGAAGTATAAGGCAAACAGGGTAAGAGTTTTGAAGATGTCATTCTAGAGGGCAGGAGGGGGTAGGTGTTGGGTTCTGGAAAACAGGAGAAGGCAGCAGCACAGACCTCTGGATGAGGCACCAAGTCAATCCTCAGCAGCAGGTGTAGCAGGAAGAGGACTGGAAATGGGAGTGGACGGATGTGGATGCAAAGAGGCTGAAAGGTTCAGGTACCATGAGTCAGACACTCTGAGCACAAATGGAAGGAAAGGAGAGCCCAGCTGGTGTGGCTCAGTGGTTGAGCATGGACCCATGCACTAAGAGGTCGCTGGTTCAATTCCTGGTCAGGGCACATGCCCAGGTTGTGGGCCAGATCCCCAGTGGGGGGCATGCAGGAAGTGGCCAATCCATGTTCTCTTTCTTTCTCCCTCTCCTTCCTCTCTCTAAAATCAATAAACAAAAAAAATTATTTACAAAATCTTTTATTAAAAAAAAGGAAGGAAACGAGAAGAAAGAAGGGAGGGAGGGAAGGAAAGAGGAAGAGGAAGAAGAGGAGAAAGAAACAGAAAGAAGAGGGTCCTGGCCCAAGGGGGAGCTTATAGGCTCCTGGCTCCGACTAACTGTGGCCTTTAGCAAGTCATCTGATTGCTGTGTGAGCCTGTATGTGTCTCTTTAAAATGGGGCTAAACCTCTGAAAGTGAGGAATAATGGAGACCGTGAGTGAAAGGCTATTTGTAAACTCTAAAGGGCTGCGAAATGCTATTTATTATGAAGGTACATCAGCTCAGGGGTAGGCCAACTGCAAGTGTGGAGGTGAGCATGTGCCCCAGTTCAGCTCCCCAAGTGACTGTCCACTTCTTCCCCACACCTGACCGCCAAACTCACAGGAGTTTGGTAAGAGGTTTTCTTTTCTTTTCTTTTTGCTCTAACTTGGATGTTGCTCTGTGCAGGCTTGAGCATGAGATTCCTTCCAATACCCCGCCACCACCCCTAGCTGTTCTCCTTGACCCCCAGAAGCCCCTTCCACCTTCTCCCAGGCAGGGCCAGCCATTGTCACAGAGGCCACCTGCCTCCTCCCTGGCCTGAATCACTAGTTGGAAGCCAGAGTCCCCACCAGAGGCCTCCAGGGACCAAGGTACCTTGCCTGAGGCTCTTAGGGACGGAAGGAAAATAAGACAGGCACTAAAATTAGATGAATTTTCTATAAATGTGTTTTTTTTAATTAAAATTGTGCTTCTTTTTCTATGCAGAAGAGTCTCTGAGAACAATCGCTCTCCCTGAGTGGCAGGCGAGGAGTCAGCGGCTCTCCCCAAAGCCAGAGAGGGAAGGGAGCGCGAGCAGAGAGGAAGGACTGGCTCTTCCCCCTCTAGGGGTAAGAATGCAAAACAGAGAAGGGCAGAATGGGGGGGGGGCTGTTAGGGATCTGCTCCGTGACTGCCCAGGCCGAGGCTCCTGGAGGAGGGGACTGAGTTTGTTGGGGACCCTGAAGCTGGGATTTTGTTTTTCTTTTGTTCCATAAAATTCTGCCACTTTCTCACTCCCTTCTTCCCCTTGCTGGCCCCAACCACCAGCCTGAAACCTCGGCTAGAGCCACCCACGCCTTGGCCTTGGGGCCACCCAGCAGGCAATGGAGTCCAAAGGGAGAAAGGGAGGGAGGGAGGGGGGAGCAGAAGGAGGAGGGAGGGCACAGGAGGGAGAGATTGAGAGAGAGGGGGGAGAGAGAATATGAGAGAGCAGAGAGATTGGGGAGAAGCCCCAAGAGGGGAGAGACGGGAGTGGGGGCAGAGACAGAGAGCCCACCAGGAGAGAGAGATTCTTAGAGGGAGCGCAGGGGTCCGGGGGATGGGAGAGAAGAAAGAGGTAGAAGAGGAGGAAGAAGGGAAAGAGCCAGGAAGGGACGAAAGGAGAAGCAGCAAAGCTGGGGGTTGCTCAGCGACTTTCAGAAACAGAAGTGAATTGTCTGGGGGCTGATCCCAGCAAACGCCGAGTTCATGGTGAAGGTCCTAAACTTGGTGGCACCCCAACCCACACTAAGCTCAGGAACCCCTTTGCCCACACTGTGCCAATGCCTTACTTCGGATGCGGAAAGCCTGAGACAGTACGTGTCGAGGGGCTTGGCTTGTGTGGATTCTTTAAGGGAACTGTGGCTCCCACATCCCCCAGGTGTGCGGGGCCCACAAAGATGGGGCTCGGGGGGCCACTGTGCCCACCAGGTGGTGCAGGCTTTAGGAGAGTGTGTCCTAGATCTCTCTCCTCAGCCCTCCCAGGTCCCCAAAATCTCTGTTTGCAATGTCCACATCCGGCACCACCGCAAATGTACTGGGGTGAGGTGGGGGGGACGGTTCCTGCACGAATTAATATCTACTTCATTCTCTTGCTCCTTCAAAGTTTCTCTTTGACAGCAGACACACTTATTCTAAAGTCAGAATGAAGGAAAATCCTGCCTGTTCCGGGCTCTGTGATCATACAAAATCCAAAATACAGCCGGTTTGGAGATGCTGCTGGAAAACTCTAGAAATCAGGAGCTTAGGAGGCAGAAACTCCAGGGTGTCCAGAGACAAGTTCCTAAATAAACCAAGAAACATAAAGTGGGGGGGGGGGGCTGAAGGGCTGACACCATTGGGACTAACAGAGCTGAAGAGTAGACCCTCGAACAAGTGAAGGACCAACCCAGCCCAGCACCTGTCTCTCGCACTGAAATCCCCCCCATACCTCATCCCTGGAGCTCAGGGTACCAGTTGGCCCCTCGCCCCTGCATTGCCAAAGCTGTCACTCCTTGAGTCCCCACCCTGAGACTCATCGTCAGCTGTGTCTTTCTTCACCTCTTTTGTTTCTGTTTTCTCCTTCAAATACAAGACAAAAATACACCTCACTTATCATCATAGATATATATTTTTCACTCTCACCACATAAATACAAAACATCCAAATATCCAAAACATTCAGAACAAAGTTAGTAGCCAGGATTCAGTGACACCTACCCGCGTTTGAATCGTTCATTATTTCCTTCACTAAAAATAATTTGCCTAAAAAAAAAAAAAGGAAAATAAGCTTCCAACGTAAATAATTTACAATAAAATTACTATTTAAAAAATGCTCTACGCTCGCTTCGGATGGAGGAATACATTCTAGACACTGCGGCACCTCGCCGTCTGGGTCTGTGGTTTTGGTTAAAATGCGGGTAGCGGTGGCTGTGGGGACAACTGTCGTCGTCGGGCTGGTAAGGTCCAGGTTTCTGACTTGGGGCCATGGAAACCCTGGAATTTTTTAGGAGAGGGATCCTTTCCTATACACGCTGACCTGGATGCGTAGACTACCGACATTCAAGGCTGCGTCCCTGCCTCTCGCCCGCAAAATGCTGCTCTGAAACTGGGGTGGAAGAGTTTTGTGAATCCGGGAGTGGGGGACTGGAGGAGCACTGGGCACTGATTCGTTTCCAAAACCGGCAATTCTGCCCACAGCCGCGCGTGGAGAGCCGGTGGGGAGGAGCGCCCAGGAGCGCCCGATCGCCCCACTCTCTCTCCAGGAGCAGCGCGGAGCTGGAGGCCGCCCCCCAACAGCCTCGGAGGAGATTTTGAATTTTCTTTCATTCGCTGCGTTGGCTTTTTTGTTGCTCTTCCCTTTTAGATTTCTGTGTAAAATGAGAACACCCAGAACTTTAATTTTGCATTACCCTCTGGCGTATTCTCTGTGCTGTATTTTCCAAATTCCATTGTTACGAGTATTTTAAAACCGGTTCCACTTCATCTGGTTTAACGCTGTGGTTATCACTCTTGTTTTATTGCTGATTAGATCAAATTTATTACCACGGTTGCCTACCACGACGTTTGGTTTATTGTCTCCCGGGGTCAATAAGCCCAGGAGGTGGCTGTGATTGGAGTTTCTCCGAAGGGAAGCGAACTCGGCGGGATTTGTCTAGCCAGGGAGCTGCGTGTGCACCGGCTCTCCTGAGGTCCGCAAAGTGGGGACCAGGGGCTCCCAAATGCCCTGGTTTCTCTGGCGAGAGGAAGGAATGTACTCCTTTTCGGTCTAAGGAAACCTGCCAGCTGTTTCAGCCCCTGGACTCTGCTTGCAGCTTTGCTCTTTCAAATATTCACAAGACCAATCAAAGGCAGCAGCGGCCCGGTCTAGAGCGGGTGTCCTGTGCTCTGGTCTAAGGACCAACCGGTCTTTTCCTCCAGGTTCCGGCACTGGCTGAGGCATCGCGTTGGCTAACTGGAGCCTTTTCCCCAATTCTTTGGATTCTCCTGGATTCTCCGAGGAAGTTTGGGGGGAGGAGAGAACACGTAGGAAAGGACGGGGGGAAAAACAGCCCACACGAGATAAAATTGGTAGCAGAGCCTGGTGGGGAAGGGGAGCTGTAAGAGGCCTCCTGGGAGCCGGGAGCCCAGCGCGGGAGCCCGCGCGCCTAGCTCGCGTGAGTCCATAAATATCACCACAATAGATACTATAAATATAAATACAGGGCAACACTTAAAATCAGTCCAGCGCTTTTTTCTCGGCCCCTTCTTTATTGTTGGTCCGAGAGTAAGGCTCGAAGGCTGAGGAGCTCAGGTATCGGGCGGAGAGTTCTTGCAAATTCCCGGCCAGCGAACCAGCCATTGTCAACGGGGCGGAGGATAGGCGGCTGGCGACGGAGCCGAGCAGCGAGGGCACCGGCAGGCTAAAGAGGCCGTGGCCGGCGGCCGGCGCCCCCGCGTGCAGTCCCCCTGGCCCGGCGGGCCCGGGCCCTGGAGCACCGCCCACGGTCGGTGGGTGCGGGGACGCGGCGCTGGTGGGTCCGGGGGCGGCGGCGGCGGCGGCGGAGCCCGCGGCGGCGCCCGCGCCCAGGGCGGGTAAGCTGGGCCCGCGCAGCGCCGAGCCGAGCGCGCCGGTGGCGCAAGGCGGCAGCAGCGCCGGCAGGCCGGGCGGCGACAGCAGGCGGCCCTGCTCCAGCAGCCGCAGCACGCTGCACGTGGCCGCGGTCTCCGACACCACTGAGCGCAGCTCCGAGTCCTTGCCCTGATCCTTCTTCTGCTTCGTGCGCCGGTTCTGGAACCAGACCTTCACCTGCGTACCAGGCGCGGGGAGGGTGGGAAAGAGGAGCAGGGGAAGACGGGCGTCAAGGGGAGCAGGCTCCGGGGTGCGAGGGCTCCGGGGGCCCTCTCGCAACCCCAGTCCCAGCTCCACCCGCGGTGGCAGAGGTCCAGCCCTGGAGCTCTGGGAGCCAGGACCCCCAGTTGGGGGACACAGCTCTGCTAGGCTGCACTTCCGGGTCATGGAACCAGGCCCAGGCTGGCCGATATTACCAATAAAGTAATAAAATGTCCACGACCTTAACTCAAAAGAGGACCAGAAGGGATTTCCCCGGGTGGCAGCACTACCCGCAGCTGGACTGCTGATCTGGGAGGCCTGAGATGCTGTGCCGCGAGTGGGAAGTCGGGGTCGGTGGGGAAGTGTTGCCCTGCCTAACACGACCCAGGCCCCTAACTAAACGGGCTCGAATTGAGCCTCAGCAGTGTTACTGTTGAAGGCCCAAGCAGCTGCTTCTTGTTTATTAGGGCGAGACTTGACCATCAACTAGCAGCAAACAGGGAAGACGGTTATAGAAGGAATCATTTGTGCAAGATGGACTTTACAGGCCACACTCTCTCCACCTCCTGTGACCACCATTTGGATTGGAGGGGCTGAGTTACTCAATTTACCACTCTGCTGCACTCCATCATGAACTGCAGAATGGCAGGAGAAAGTCGGGAGGCTGCATTGGACTAAATTCTCTCCACCATCCTCCCCTCTCACTTTCTCTTTTCCCTCTGTCCCTCTTCAGGCCCACGGATGGCCCAGAACGGAGTTTGGCAGCTACAGGGAAAGGTTATCCTGTCTAGATTTTGTAAACCATACCAAGAGGGGTGGTAGCAGAGAGACTAGGGGAAGGCTACCATGCCAACTCAGGCTCAGAAAGAACATCCAATATGTTCTGTCCTTGGTTCTCAGCTTTCTGTCCAGATTCCAGACCTAAAATGTTCCCCACCTGCTTCAGCGCTGGGTCTAGGATAAGGGACTGATCCTTAGAAAACAACGTCTCCCTTATCTAGGCCAAGCTGAGGCCGTGCCCTGGCCAAGGCCCAAAGGGCCTCCACAAGGCAAACCCCTCAGGCCCTAAAGTGCCTCTGGGCTGAGTCCAAGTAGTCAGCTCCATAGCATCATATGGATTTCATATAAAGCAAAAGACCTAAATCACAGTGGCAGTGCGGGCTCCCAGGGCCCCAGATCTGTCTCCCATCCCATACCTCATTGGCACAGAAGACAGGGTCTCCTGGGGTCTGGAGTGGGTGCTCAGGTCTGAGAATGGGGTTGAGTAGCTTAGGGCCAGGGGAAGCTTGACACTACCAGGGCAGCCTGGTCTGCACAGGCAGATATTAGAAATGAGTACCTTTGTAATCCTACTTGTCACCTGCAGCTCTGGGGCTGGGGGCTTTGGCCCTAGGCTTTTGGCTCATTGCACTATGGGCCTGGGTGTTGTGTAAGGTTCGGTTCCCCAAAGGGGGTGGTGCCTGAAAATCTGGCCAAAATGAGGTAGCTAAAATAGGGTGAACATCAGTTCTTTGTACAGCAGAGACAAGCAAGGAATTCTCAAGACTAGGGTCCAAATAGAATTCCAAAAGGACAGGATTGGGGGCCTCCTGGGCTAGGTCAAGTGAACAGAGCATGGGCCCTGGAATATTTGGGGAGGAGGGTGTTGGCTTATGGAAGGAAAATAGCCTTAGACTTTTCTTCTCCCTATCTCCTCCACCTCCCTGGGAGCCTCTGTCCAGAGCCACGACTAGGTGGTGAGGAAGAGCTGGCTGGGGGTGGGGGGAAAGAGGCTGGCGCAGAGCTGTGAGCGGCCTGGCCGCCGGGTACCTGGGTCTCGGAGAGGTTGAGCTGCCGGGCGAGCTCGGTCCTCTCGCGGCCCACCACGTACTGGCAGCGCTGGAACTCCATCTCCAGCCGGTAGAGCTGCTCCGCCGTGAAGGACGTGCGCGTCCTCTTGGGCCGGTCCAGGTCCAGGCCCTTGGGCAGGATGATCTCTCGGATGGACCCCTTGGCATCTGGGGAAGGGGAAATATCAGCCGCCAGAGCCCTCGTCTCCCTCCCCCTCCGGCTGGAGCTGGCTTCGGGAACAGTCGCCCCCAGCCTGAAGTTCAGGGGTGAAGGGGACGGCAGGGGGGGGGATGCCCGCGGCCGGGGAGCAAAGACTGTGTGTTTAGGGGACGAGGGGGCTGCCCCCACACGCTGACGAGAAGGAGAACCAGACTTTGCAGTTGTACAGCCCTCCGGACAGGGGAGGAGGAATAATCAATTTCAAATCGGCTGATGGTCCTTCTGGCTCGGGGGCCTTGACTGCGTCCGTGGTCTAAGTCCCTACACCGACCAGACCGCGTCCTGCGGGCCCCAGTTCTAGAGCGTGTTGACCAGACCGCGCTCCGGCGGTCCCCACCCCCACCCCGGGGTCTCTCTCCCTCCTGAGCCCGGGAGGCGGAAGGAGGAGGGACCGAGTCGGGGCCAGCAGGGCCTGGCGGTCTGCAGGCGGGGGCGGCGCCGGGCCAGGGCCGGGCCTCAACCCCGTGGCTGCCCAAGCTGAGCCCACATCGCGCGGCAGAGCGGGGCCAAGCCGAGCACGAAGCCGGCCTCCGCGGCCCGGCGACTGAGCCCAGCCGCCTTCTCAGGCGGCGGCGGCCAGCCCCGAACGCGGCACCAGGGCCTCGGCCCCGCGCGCCAACTGGCTGGGCCGTAGTCGGCGGTCGGTGGCGATCCTCCCGCTCGCGCTCGCCCCGCGGGGCGCGCTCAACTCGCCAGGGCGCGGAGCCCGCCACCGAGCTCCGGGCAGGTGCTCCGGGCCGCAGGGCGCGACCACGTCCTGCAGACTTCCCTGCTCCTCTCCCGGGTCGGAGGCCTCCGCCTGGAGCCTGGGCCCGCCCATACAGCCCCTCAGCTTCCCCAGCCGCCCCGCGGGTCGCGGAGAGTGGCGGTCCCCGGAGAGCGCGCGCCCCGGTGCGAGTCCCCATCGGCCGGCCGGACCCGAGGAGAGGAGGGCCAGCAACTTTCTCCGAAGTCCCAGCCCGCACCTCCTCCCCGCGCCCGGGGTCGGAGGCGACGCGCAGCTCCGGCATCAGCGTCGCCCCCGAAGAACGCACCCCGCCGCCCTGCCCATCCCTACCTCGGACCAGGATCCGGCGGCAGTAATCCGGGTCCGCAGAGGAATTGGATTTACTTTTGTTGCAGTCTTCCGCGGCGCCCGACGCCGAGAAGGCGCTCTGCGGCTCCTTGAGGAAGGCGGCCGGCAGGTTCCCGTCCGCTCCCTTGCCCTCCCGGCTCTCCTTGTGCGCGTTCTTGGAGACCCGGGCAGCCTCTGCGTCCGAGTGGCACCGAACGTCCATTTTGTCTGGTTTCCCGAACATAGGAGAGGCGAGAGCAACAGGAAAAGAAAAAAGGAGAAAGAGAAGAAACAAAAACCAAAACCAAAAAGAAGAAGAAGAGGCAGAGTGGGGGACAAAACCCCTACAACACAGCCCCTACGCCCGGCCCGGAAAGAGGCGAGAGGCAAGAATGAATGTCCCGGCAGGGTGGCTGTGGCGGCCGCGGGCGGGTCAGTGGCGACCGGCGAGTGGCGCGCTCGCCGAGAGGCGGCGGGTCTGCTCCAAGATCCCGGTGGAGCAGAGGTGAGGCCGCCTTGTCAGCACCCGCGTCCTCTGAGTACGTCCAGTGTCCCCAGCCTGGAGATCAGGTAGCGAGCAGCGCAACTCCGAAATGCCGAGGCTCCCGCCTGTTACTGAGACAGCGAGTTGTAGTTGTCCGACACCCAGGGGGACGCACACTCGCGGTTGCAATTGATTACGGGTAATTTCGCAGCCCCCACGTTTCGGTTACCTCATGAATACACTAAATTGTTTGGATAATATATCAGATCGTAATGGATGGTTTCTGTCCTTGTCCCCAATCAAGTAGGGGTTTAGCCAGTGAATAAACGGAAATGATTGGTCTTGCTTTCAGGAAACACACAATCAAAGACCCACACTTCCAGAAAAACTTTTGGCAAGATTCGTCCTGAATGGTTAGTACCATTAGCAGGCATTATTAACTTTCCCTTTGCCTTTGACCCTCCTGCTCACATATTGGCCAGAGGGTTTTTCTCTGCACTCGATAGATAGAGCTCAATGAGGGTGGAGGGGGAAGAGGAAAAAACAACAACAACAAAACAAAAACCCCTTACACACCCTGCAGAACACAAAACAGTTGCCTCTAGAGGGAAAAAAGAAGAGGAAGAAGAAGGGGGGAGAAAAAGTTTTCCCAAAAAGTATCTTCCCCCGCACTCTAAAATGCGAAGCTTTCATTCCAAACAACTCCTGCTTAACACACCTCCATGCTGACAGCCATCTTAAACTGCCACCTCTCTTCATTTAGTTCCCGTTGGATTTTTTCTTGCCTGCACCTCCAGCAGCCCTGAGGCAGCCCATTCAAAGGGCAGCTTTGTACTCAGAGTCCAGCAGGAGAGAGAGGGGGAGAGGGAGAGGGAGAGAGAGAGAGCCCAGAAAATCTCAACTGTGAGATCTGCTTCAAAAAAAAAAAAAAAAAAAGTTTTCCCCTAGCTATTTCATTGTCTCTGCTACAATATCTTTGAGAAAAGCAACAGCCAGTAATCCAATAAGAGCATTGATTAGGCTACAATGATTCAATTCAAGCGCATGGCCTTGTGCAAGGAGCATGCTCCAGCCCTTCTCGTCACCTTGCCGGGGCAGAAGCCCTCTCCACGCCGCTCTCCCCATTCATTCCTTTATGGGAAATGCAGAGCAAAAGGAGTGAAAGATGGCAATTATCTAATTGGACTATTAACAAACAGTCCTCTGAGTGCGGTGGTCTGGCGTGGCTCCTGGGCGGGGGAAGGGCCTGGTTCCCTGCCCTCATTCACAAAGAGTGCAAGGGCCGGGGAGGAAAGGGGGTTTTTTAAAGGGAGTGGGGGGGGAGGGAGGTTTGGCTGAGATTTTTTTACACAATTCCGAGAATGGGGGCGGAGGCGGGCGGGGAAGGGGAGGGGGCTAGGACTGGGGTCCTGGCCAGCGGTTGGGAACCAGGGAGGGAGGAGGATGCGAGAGTGTGTGGGGGGTGCCTAGGGGCTCCTGATCCCAGCCCGGCGCGCCCTGCCTGCCCCACAGTCCCGCTGCCGCCACCCCGCTGGACCGCAGCTAACCTGTCCAGGCCGGATGGGCCGCCACACTCCCCCTCCCCCTTCCTCCCACCTTGCCCCCTGGCCCCAAGGAGAGCCCATTCTGGGTCCGGTTCCGGAGGGCGTTTCAGGCCCTGGAGGCGGACCTTGGCCTATTACTTTCTTTCATCGGGGTGTGTGTGTGTGTGTGTGTGTGTGTGTGTGTGTGTGTGTGTGATTGTCCTGAGCCAGCTGGGGCAGTCGGATGGCCCCTCAGTCCTGTTGTCCGAACGCAGCTCTCGATGACCGACGTCAACTGGATCCTCCGGGTAGACAGAGCCTTTGATTCCCGCTCTCCCTGGCGGGTCGGCGGGGCGAGTGGGAGTGAGGAGGGAAGGGTCCTTGCGGCCGCCCTGTTCTGAAAACGTGGAGTGGGATTTAGACAACATCCAGCCAACTCTCCAGTTACTTCCCGCCACGCTCAAACTCTCAGGTGGGCGCCCCAGGCCCCGAGGGCTCCACTCCCGCGCGGGCCGGGACGTCAGGAGGCGCCTCTGCTGGGCCCTGGCAGGAGCTGGGCAGGTCCCTGGGATTGGGGTTCTCCCGCAGCGGCCCGGGCGGTGGGTGGGGCCCCCAGTTCCCTGCACAGCTGCCAGAGGCAGTACTGGGCATGTCCTCCAGGAATGATGGGGCTCCATATCCCGACCGACTGGCCCTTCTCTAACACCGGGCAGGGGAGGGTGGTACCCTCCGACAGCTGGCCCTGGCTGGGTGCCTCCCAGCCCAGCTGCTCAGGGTTCCCTAGCAGGGTACTTGGAGGGGGGACTTACACCCTAAGGAGACCTGCGGGCCCAAAGGAATCCCAGGCCCAGCTGAGCCTTGGCCCGAACCGAACTGGGCCACCTAAGAGTGGCTGTGGGTCCCTGGCCGCACCCAGCTTTGAGGCCTTCTTTTCCCGAAGGCCACTGCGCCCGCAAAACCCGCACTGACGCCCGCTGCGCTGGGCAAAGGCCCAGAGCGAAGTCTTTCAAAACAAAAATGTCCAACCCACCACCTCTTCTTTTAAGTCGTTGAGGGGAACCAGCCAGGGAGTGAACTATGTACTGCCCTTAGAAAGGACAACGGCCGTTCTTGCAGGGGAATAACAGTAGCATATTTGGTCCTAACTGGGACTGTTTATTGAGCAATCACTTCCAGGTGCATAACCTCATTTGACTTTCTTTCTTTTTCTTTTTTTATCCTCACCCGAGGACACTTTTCCATTTTTTTTTTGTTGTTGTTCAGATAGAGTAGGAGGGAGAGAGAGAGAAACATCGATGTGAAAGGGACACATCCAGTGGCCGCCACCCACCCGACCCAACCAGGGATGGGGACAAACTGCAACTGAGGTACGTGCCCTTAGTGGGAACCGAACCCGGGTCTCTCAGAACCGCAGGCCAAACCTCTAACCGCTGAGCCAAACCAGCTAGGGCACATTTGATTTTCTTAACCGCTCAGTCAGGAAGGTGCCAGTATCCCAGCTTCAGAGATGAAAAGAGAGTCTCAGATGGCCAATAGCTTGCCCAAGTCACACAGTTGGCAAGTGCAGAATTTAACTCGGTTCTGTCTGACTTCAAAGCTATGCAGGGTCTTCTTTATCCACCCCACAGGACTCTGCCCATTTTCTAGTTCCCAACCTAACCCTGCTTTGAGTTTTCATAATCTCCAGTGATCATGGTGTACATCACAGATACAGAGCAATGACCTTAATGTCAGTGCCAGAAATCCTGAGAATTAGGCATTGGTGTTCATGAATTTTATCCATAGAACACGAAGCACAAATGGAAACATGAATTCTTATTTCTGATGAGGCTATTTACCACCAGCCGGGAGCATCTCCTAGGAGTCTATCCCTCTCCTCCAGCAAGCTGCCTGGGATGAAGGAAGTGAAGTTTCTTGGGTCCACACCTACTAAATGAGTGTCTGAGAGCAGGGATGTGCGGTTCTAGACTCCTCCCCAGGGGGTCTTCCCACAAGTTAAAGTTGGAGGACTGCACCTTTTAAAATTGGGTCAAGTTAGGGGGTTCAGCTAGGCTTCCTGAGGGCACTGAACTTCTTTCTTTGTTTCTATCCACTCATTGGAAATAGAAATGTTTATTGGGGAAAGGAAGAACATGGGATATTATGAAAAACACCTAATTTAATTAAGCAGCCATTTACCAAGAGTCTGAAGGTGTCAGGACCTGGGGCAGGACCCAGGGTGGCTGCTGAAGCACCCAGGCCTCCTCCCTACAGCTTCAAGGACAGACCCTTAGCTAAGGGAACTCATGGGCCCTACGCATGGCTCAGGGTTGGTGCTCTGGAGCTGTGTCCCTTAATGTTCTAAGCCCTCGAAGGAACCAAATTCAGTCAAGAAACAGCCAAGCCATAACCTGGTTTTGCTTTTTGTTATGCATAGTACTTCTCCCCCCTTGTGACTGGATTAGAATTCTGTGGGCATCCATCCAGAAAAACCATGACAGGTTTCTGAGAGGACACAGTGGAGGAGGGAAGCCCGGGGATGGAAATTTCAGAAAAGCAGCTGCTGGCCCGAGAGACACTGAAGCTGTGTGCCCACTGGCAAAGGAAGGAGAAAACTCGATCAGTTATTCGGATAATCGGAAGCGAGCCTGTAGTACACAGCACGTGAGGACACAGAACTGCTCCAGGTAAAAATGTCTTATTCTCCCAACGAGTCGTGCGGCCCTGCCCAGGACTCTTCCCGCCCCACATCACACTCTGCAAGTGCAGACAGACCCAGAACAGAGCTGTGGAGCTGGAAGGATTTTCAGAGATCAGCTATTCCATAATCTTCATTTGACTTGACAGCTGAGAAAAATGAACCTGGAAAGACAAAGCGACTTGTTAAGGATTCGACAACCAGTTAGTGGGGGCATCTGTGCTGCAGCTCTGTTCTCGTGACTGAAGGCCGCCCTCCCACCACCACCCAGGCTTCCCAGCACCTGAACAAGATGAATGTGAGGTGCTGGGGTGAGGTGACGTGATGTCATATAAGTGAACGAAATCACAAGCAGAGTCTTGGGGGTGTTTTCATATCCCCTGCCTTCATCCTGTCTCTGCAACAGGAAGCAGGATTCGAGAGAGCACACAGCTTTCCTGTTCCATCTTCATTCTTTATTTCAGGAAGGTGTAGGAGGGAAGGACATGCTGGCAGAAAATCTGAGATCCTCTTAGATTGGGAGCATCTTGGATCAGCATAACTTCATGTCTGAAACGTCA